ATAATAATTATATTTATATAATGTAAATATAAATTATACAAGAACTCCACCCATATTCCATTTAGGATACAAAGCTTTCAAGATGGTTCAGGTGAAAAGTACCCACAAATTCATCACATATTACGAAAATTGGACAAATTTAGATAAAATCATAAATACTAGTATGTTTGGATTAGGTACTTAGTGACTTTCTGTTGTTGCTCTTTTTATTTTCTCTTTTTTTTGTTTGAGTTCGGGTTTCATCTGCAGTAGTAGTGAGTCTTTAAGGGCACTTATGGTATAGACTGGAAGGAAAGCATCTCTTTAAGAAAGGAGACCTATAAAGTATACTTACTTCCCTAACCTAAGTCTTTCACTGACAGTGCACACATGATGGTTACTCCATCATGAGTTAACGGGTAATTTAATTCTTAGTGTTTATTTAGGATTTATACTAACTAGTTCTACGTATATTGTATTAAAACTGGTTTTCATAAAATCTTAATAAAAAATTATATGTGCTGCAGCAAAATAAAAAAAAAAATATAAATTACATAAAATATATATCTTTGTTATAATAAAAAAAATTATTATAAAAGAAAATTTGTTATTAAAAAAATCATTTTTATATTGATTATAAAATTTACTTTATTAAAAAATATACATAAAATTCAGTTTAATATAATGAAAATTTTTTTATATATTAAAAATACTATAATTATAGAAAATTCATTATATTATAATTAAAATTTATTATAAAAAAAGTTAATTATATATGTTTTAATTTTTATAAATTATAAAAAATATTAAATTAAATTTATTTAATTAAATAGACTGTTGCTAACTTTCTCTCCGGGTGAAGATCACCTAGGGTGATTTCACCTAGGTGATTTCACTCACGATTAATTTATTAAATTTATTANAAATTTAATTTAATATTTTTTATAATTTATAAAAATTAAAACATATATAATTAACTTTTTTTATAATAAATTTTAATTATAATATAATGAATTTTCTATAATTATAGTATTTTTAATATATAAAAAAATTTTCATTATATTAAACTGAATTTTATGTATATTTTTTAATAAAGTAAATTTTATAATCAATATAAAAATGATTTTTTTAATAACAAATTTTCTTTTATAATAATTTTTTTTATTATAACAAAGATATATATTTTATGTAATTTATATTTTTTTTTTTATTTTGCTGCAGCACATATAATTTTTTATTAAGATTTTATGAAAACCAGTTTTAATACAATATACGTAGAACTAGTTAGTATAAATCCTAAATAAACACTAAGAATTAAATTACCCGTTAACTCATGATGGAGTAACCATCATGTGTGCACTGTCAGTGAAAGACTTAGGTTAGGGAAGTAAGTATACTTTATAGGTCTCCTTTCTTAAAGAGATGCTTTCCTTCCAGTCTATACCATAAGTGCCCTTAAAGACTCACTACTACTGCAGATGAAACCCGAACTCAAACAAAAAAAAGAGAAAATAAAAAGAGCAACAACAGAAAGTCACTAAGTACCTAATCCAAACATACTAGTATTTATGATTTTATCTAAATTTGTCCAATTTTCGTAATATGTGATGAATTTGTGGGTACTTTTCACCTGAACCATCTTGAAAGCTTTGTATCCTAAATGGAATATGGGTGGAGTTCTTGTATAATTTATATTTACATTATATAAATATAATTATTATATAACAATATACTATAGAAGATTTCTTATTGTGTGAAATACATATTAAAATGCGTATTTCGCATACTAGTTTTATTTATTTTATATATATAAAACTAATATGCAAAATACTCATCATATGATTTATGCTAGATAAATGTATTACGCAAATATATTTATATAATTACTATGCGAATTACATATGTTATCATACTTGCTCTCTCTTCCTGTCTCTTATACACATCTAGATGTGTATAAGAGACAGGAAATGATCAGCACATTAATTAGCCAATAAAATTTAAATGAGGTGATATCACCGGGTAAATTATATAAAAATATATAAAATTATCAGGTTAAATCACCCTAGGTGAAAAATTGCTAAATCACCCCGGGTGAAAATTAGTTATAATCAATTAAATATTTGTTTTTATTTATTTATATACCTTTTTTTATTTTTTTTTATCTTTTTAATAAGTTAAATTAGAAATTTTCCAACTTATTTAGAAGTTATCTATTTCTTAATTTTGTTTAAAAGTTGCTCTACTTTGCAAAATAAAAAATACATATTTACAAATTATAATAAACAATTCAATAATTAAAGAAATAAAAAATAAAAAAAAAATATTATCTATGATTTTATTATCACACTTTGCAAAATAAGAAAACCCATCTTTATAAACTTGATAAATAAATTCATAATCAAATATAAACAGACAACTTTAATTTACAAAATCATTATAATTTTCATTATCCATTCCTGATTTACTGCATCCTTTAGTAACTGTTAACTTGTATAGATCAGCTCTTTGATTTATTTTTTTTGCTTTCCATTCAGCTAATTCCTTTCAATAATTGAAAAAAATATATATATATATAAAAGTAATTTTTTAAGTTAAATTAGGAATTTTCTGATTCACTAAGGAATTATCCATTCTTAACTTTGCACTTAGGAGTTACTCCACTTAAAAAAATATGCTTCTTTTAAAGTCTGATTCAGATTCAGCCTTTCTGCTTCTTTCAAGAAATGGGTAGCCTTTTTGCATTTGTTTAGAAAACTAGTAATACTTCTTTACTCAAAGTATTCATGCAATTTTTCTGTCATTTAGTTTTTAATATAAAATAGTGTTGTAACTGATAACATTCTGACGTTAAATAAGTAAATAAAAAAAAGTTGATAATAAATTTTTAGAGAAAGTATTTTTTTTAGGAAAGTAGAAATAGTTTTTTTATTAAAATATTTTTTTTTCAGAGAAAATAGTATGTTTTTATAAGAGAAAGTAATCTTACCGACTTTAACCAATGCTGTTTCTTTTATACCACTGTATATACCTCAATATGGCTTAGTGATTCTGTGACACAAATTTTTATCGTCACTCATGTGATTCGACTTACACATTAAAAACTATAATAGAAAAAATCCTTTTTTAATGGAAGGAAATGAAAAAAATTATCACTATATAGAACAGTCTGCAACTTCAAAAAGAGAAATACAGACCTTGGCGAAAAGAATAGCGGTCAGTTTTTTTGATATCACGAATGTAATTTATAGTAAAATGTGAATTTTTTTTTTATTTTCTGAAAGGGGAACAGAAAATACATATATTTCATTATTTAAATAATATTTGATATGATCATCTTCCCATGTCAATAAATGCTTTAATTTAGTATTGCATACTATTTGCACTCTTAACCAGTGTTATTTTATTATGATATTTTAATATTTTCTTAACTTTCTCGCCATCCAGAGGTCAGATTGAGACAAATTTACCACCATTGGATTCCTCTTGACTATGTGGTTTGAATGGTGGTCTCAAAATTACTGTGTAGCATCTGTGTAATGTGATAGTTCAAGTATAATAGTGAGTATTATTAATTTTTATGTTGTATAAAGATAATCATTTCTAAAAGCAATATAAAAGCTTAATAATATAATAAAAGACCATTATTTAAATCTCGTAATTGCAAGAAATCTAATAGTTGAAATTTTGTTTCAATACAAGTTTTGGTTGATGGTAAAATGAAGTTTAAACTTTTTATTTCAAACTTTCATACCAAATTCAAAAAATTATTAGTAGTATTTCTCTGTGATAATGTGATATAACAAAATGCAATTATAATATTTGGCAGTTAAAAGTAAGTGGTTTTTTTTAAAAAAAAATTGGAATTTATTATTATATAGGATTTTGAGCATTTTAAAAAAAATTCATAGCAAATTATTATGCTCCGATTTTTATTAAATTTATAACATTGGTTTTTTAGAAGGTAAAATAGGCGTAAAAACAATAATAAAATTTCATTTTTTTTTATTGCTTTTTAAAATAGTATTTTAAAAATCCATTGGGCATTACAAGTTTTAATTTAAATAGGAAAATTCTGATCTCATATCCAAATAACAAATGATATTCGCACCGCCATTCTTTTCGCCGGGGACTGTAGTTGTAAATCTATTTTTGCTATATTTTTATTGAAATTTGTTATTTATACATAATAAAATAAATTTAGGGCGATTTGGATTTTGGATCTAAGTAATTTATAGTGAAAACTACTTAAATTCTTTTAATTTTCATATGTGAATTGCAATTAACTGTTTATGTAATCTATATTGTCCTGAAATTATTATGCATTGTTAAGAAAAATAATTGACGTAATACTCGAATTTATAAAAATACGAGGGTGTCGATTAAAATTATTCTTTATCGTCGAAGTACTAATGACAGTACATAACAAAAGCATAAAGCAAGTTGTATACAATGTTAAAAATAAATATTGGTCAAATCGGAGTTCTAATTCTAACTTTGTTTATCCTATTTTTACCGATAAATGTTAATGTAACTATTTTGATGATTTACGATATTTGTAAATAAACAATCTCATGTCTATGATACCGATTTCCTTAATGTTCTAATTTTAGGCGAAAATTCCGAAACTACTTACCAAAATGTTGAAACAAAGGGAAAAAAGTTCGTAATTCATAGATAAATTTGTTCATGTGCTTGCAGTCAAATGGGATCATAACCACGTTATTATGTCGTGTGATTTGATTTAATTATTTAATAATTATTGTTTTCAGATGCTCACTAACCATATACTTCATTATGACGTATAAGATACCATCTATAGATTCGTGTTATTTATTCGTTTTTTATTCATTTTTTATTCGTTGACCCGTGAGAATAAATTAAAAACAATGATAAATGTAATACATTTGTGGTTTTTTTTTTTATTTTTACATCTCTCTTTTATAATCTCGCAGATCACTACCTTAGATCAACAAATTTATCAAAATTACAATTTACAAATATTACAAGAAATATATATATANTTTTTTTTTTTTTAATAAAGATGAATGTATTAAGTGAATCGATTGCAGTTTTCTCACCAGAAGAACAGGAAGCTGAACGAAAAGTTTTAAAAGAATTTAAAAATTTGACAAATTCTCAAATTTATGAACACATTTTTATTCACCGAATGATGTTACGAAAACAACATGTCACAAATATTCATTGTCCATCCGACATACTAGGAACCGATTCATGTGAACTTATTCTTCCATCTCTCCACAAGACAATTCAAACTGTATTATCTAACACTTCTGATTCATCAGAATTTCATTTATTAGATATTGGAGCAGCTTCAGGTGAAATCATTGATTGGTGCTTTGCTAAAGAACTCGAGAAAAATGTTCAAATGAATAGGCAAAATATAATTCATATAATTGAACCAAATTCAAATTTATTACAAACTTATCAACAAAAATTATGTGAGTATGCTCATTTAAGTCAAGGTATCGTTTATAATGGAACGGTACAGGATTATTTTGATATGGATGATAACGCAAACGACGGAACAAACAAATTAAGAGTGGAGGCACCCTTACCACTCATTCCATTAGATCTTATTAATTGTATACATATGATTAATTATCTGTAAGTAAGAGTTTTTAAGAACTTCGGTTTTCTTTCCCCCCTCTTTTACTTATACACTCTTCTTGCATAAAATAAAATAAAGCGTTGATATAACTACTCCAAAAATCGATCCATCAAATGATATCATTTCCTTTTGCAAATTCATTTATTCGCATTTGAAACCAGGCGGTGCAATTTATATTGCACATTTAGACGTATTGAATTTATTTAATTTTAATGATGACGACGAAGATAACGATTACAATGCAGAAACTTATCAAAAAATTCAACAAATAACTTCTGCAAGAAATTCCTTGTTATATGAGGGTAATATCATTGATCATCTTCATTCTTCAGAATTAAATGTATGTGAAGTAGATTATGATAGTGATGATACGATGGAAAATTCTCGAAAACGTAAAATCAAGACCATTCCAAAATTCAATTCATATAAATTACCTAGCTCGTTATTTTCAAAATCTTTAGCTGATATGTCCGTACTTTTATTAATCGATCAATTGCCAAAAGTCAAAAATGATGATAGAAAATTTGATATTAGATTGTTGGAGAATATTTTGGAACAAGTTAAAGAAGTCGCAATGACTCCCGTTGGTGAAGGTAAAAAGAAAAAGTTTGGATTGGAAAGAGGTACGAGAGGTGGTGAAATAGTTTGGAAAATTGATATTCCATTGATCATTAGTATAATTCGTAAGGAGAAGGTTCATATCTGAGTTCCAAATACATTCTAGATCGACAATATCATACGATTATTTTAGTATAAAAGGTTAATTCCAAGTTAGCCTTAATTAGTCTCTTATATTTATATCATTTGTTATTTTTTATTTATTTTTTTTCTTTCTTTATTGTTTACTATTCTCTCTCTCTATAAAAGAAATAAAAGTGATACGAAAAAAAATTGGATAATGTTATTATATTGCAAAGTTTTCGCCCCAACTAGGACTCGAACCTAGAACCTCCGCCTTAGGAGGGCGACGCCATATCCATTAGGCTATTGGGGCCGATCATATAGCTGTTGTGTTCAGAAAAATAAATCTAAAAAAATTATCAAAATTTTAAAAATTTTATAAATTCAAGTTTTGGATTTAAAAAGGTCTGTCCGACGCAGAAATATCACATAACAAAGGTTTTTTCTAGTTTAGATTGTTCTTTGATAGATGGCTTGTACTAATAGTTCAAATAAAATGACGTACGAATTTAAAAAGGGGAAATCGGGTACTCTTGTGTTGAATGAATGGCGTCTTGCAATAACGCCATCTTTCCACTACTCGCATATTGTACAAATGATCTTGTTTACCTTTTTTTTCAAAAAAAAAAAAAGTTACCCTGATTATCTCCGTTGTTTAATTGTCAGTGTTGATACAAATTTGGCAACATATACCGAAATTTAAATTACTTTTTATATTATGGAATTGCTTCATAATTTTATCATAATATTTATTGTTATGATTAAAACAATTTAAATAATGGTAAAAAACAGGTTTAATTATTAGGTTACGACAACATAACTTACAAATATTAATGTTTCATGTGATGATCTTTCGGGACATTTAGGGGAAAAAACCGTTGTTAGGTATGTGATTTGTTTATTAATTCACACCCCCTCACCTTAAAACTCCAATTTTAGTATTTACTGCTCTCTCTCATAAATGATTGATTTTTTTTTTTAGAAAACAAAAAAATTTCCTTGAATAATTTTTTTTAATCTGCTTTTATAAGTTCACATTAAATTTTAGTTTGATAAAATAAGTTATTATGGACGAGCCAACGCCAAGTTTAGAGGAACTTGAAGAGCAGACTTTTATCACTAAAGAGTATATAGAAGAAAAAATAATTCCTGGTTTTACAGACGCATATCGTCATGGTTTTGATGAAGATGAATCAACGATGATACCTTCCTATGTTTGTCGATTGCCAACTGGTATGGAAACTGGTACATATCTTTCATTGGACTTAGGTGGGACTAATTTGCGCGTGGCAGCTGTTACATTAGTTGGTGATGGTAAAACTGATATTGAACAAAAACAGTTCGTCATTCCTGAGGAATTAAAAACCGTTCCTGTTGAAACTTTGTTCGATTGGGTCGCCGATTGTGCTAAAGATTTATTGATTAAGATTAAATCTCTTGAAAAAGAGATGTATATGGGGGTGTCTTTTAGTTTTCCAATCAAGTGAGTGTCAAAAATGGTTTCTTTCGCAATTTGAATCCGCAAATTATGTATAATTTATTTTTCACCGCTAATATTATAAAGACAAACTGATATCAATAAAGGTGTGGCAATGAAGATGGGTAAGGGATTTGATATTCCCGGCTTGGTGAATAATGATGTTGTTGAACTTTTAAATGATGCTTTCGTTCGTAAGGTAGATTCACAGATAGTTATTCTTTTAATTACTTTTTTTTTTAAAAAAAAAGAGATATTAATTCTTTTCTTATTGCTCATAGAAAATAAATATACACATTGTGGCTATAGTTAATGATACAGTTGGATCACTTGTAGCATATGCTTACAGAGATCAAAATACGATTGCATCTATGATCATAGGAACAGGAACAAATGCAGCGTGTATCTGCGAAACAAGTGAAATTAAGAAACAAAATTTTCCTCCAGATTCTCCTCAGTATATGATAGTTAATAATGAGATAAGCTTAATGGGAGCAGATTTTTTACCAAAAAAAACAAAATATGATAAAATACTTGATTCACAAAGTTCTATACCGGGATTTCAACCTTTTGAAAAAATGGTCAGCGGGCGTTACATAGGTGAATTAGTTAGATTGGCCATTGTCGATTACGTTAAAAATTGTAATTTATTTGACGGGAAATTACCTGGAAAAATGGAAATTCCTTATAGTTTTTCTACTGTCCACATGTCAGAAATTGAAAGGTATAACAAAAACGAAAAAAAAACAAATTGTTTGCACATTAAATATATTAAATACAATTTATTAACATTTTTTTTCTCTCTTTTTATTCAGTGACCGTACTTATAATTCAGCAAATATTTTAAAATCACTAACCCAAAATTTTAAATTTTCCGAAGATAATACACCAACGGTCGGAGACATGCGTACAGTTCAAGAACTTGTGAGAAAATTTTCACGTAGATCAGCACATTTGGCAGTGGCGGCTGTCGCATCATTAATTAAACTACAATGTGGAACATATAAAAACATAGAAAGAGAGGTTAGAATAGCAATTGATGGATCAATTTATAATAGTTATTATAAATATTCTTCTTCAATGAGCAAACTTCTTAAAGAAATACAAGAATCTGGAGAGGATAAAAAAGTAAAAATAGTTTCAGTTAAAAACGGTGGTATTATTGGTGCTGCTGTAACTGCTATGATGTACTCTCCCCATCCATAACAAGTTTTTAAAAGAGATTAAATAAAGATGTTTTCTCAAGAAAAAGAGAGCAAAGAATGTTTCAAGCCTTTGCAGGTATGTATAATGAATTTAAGTTAGTTTATTTTATTTTATGTGTTTTTTTATTTCTATTTCTATTTCTATTTTTTATTTTATTTTATTTTATTTGGTCATTTTTAGGAACTTTAGAATTTTTGGTTTTTATTTTTTTTTACGAAAAACTTTTTTATTTTTATTAATTAGGATAATTATTGAAAGTGTAATAAATAAAAATAAATTATTGTTTATACATTTTCATCATCAGTATCTTGATCGAGTAATGGATCATCTTTATATTCAAATTCAATTGGCTCGACTTCATAATCCACTATAAAAAAAAGAAAAATTAAATTAAGAAATATGGTAATATAAAGAATAGTTAAAGACTCAAAAATACTTGCAATAAACTTTAAGTTTCTTTCCAAAATTCCTTTGACATAGGTAAACATTAAAAATTGAAAGCAATAGGATGAGTATAGATACCATTCCCATGATAAAGGATAATTGATAAAGAGGTGACCAACGAATTTGATTTGTGAAATCACACTTTTTTATAATAGAATCAGTTCCGATATAATTTGAAGGGATTAAACATGTCGGAACCGTATTTAAAAATATTATTACACATAGAGCAATATTAAGAATGTAGTAAACAGAAATCTTTAATCTAGATTCTTTTTGAACCTGTTAAAAAAGAATATTTGTTTTTTTAAATATATTATGTGAGTATTTTAAGATTATTGATATTATTAAAGAAAAACATAGGTTCATTATTTACTTACACCTTTTTTAATTATAATTATCTTTACGATAAAGAGAATAAGAGAATAAGGTATAATGTCAAAAAATTGATTGGTAAACAATGTATTTCGATAATTCATGTAAGTATTTCTTGTTCTATAGAACCAATTTATTGATATCCAATATCCGATTATTATTACATTTGAATGAATTAATGATATTACATAAATATAATGTGTAAACATTCCTAAAATAAAAAGAGGATTATTAGATGAGATATGAGATATGAGACTGAAACGCGTAAAATCATGATCATACGTTTTATTTCTTCACGTGTTGTTAGGGCGAATTTAGGTAAAAATTTCCAATATCTATTTAATGTCACATTAGATCGGCGAGATTATATGATTTTTAAAAGTACGGTAACTTACCTCTTTTGCCATAATAAAGCTACAATAATCATGAATGTAACTTGAAAAATACATAGAATGATAAGTCCGATAAGTTCATTCTCATTTACATCATAATTATTCTTTATTCCAATATTATCTAATCAATTTAAAAAAATTACATTAATTTTTTATTTTTTTTATATAAAAAAAAAGAGAGATATTAATGAGAATTTACTTTGATAATCGTTGATGCAATCATTATATAAAGTTTTAAATTCTTCACAATATTCGCTTAAATTATGATCAAATACCATGTTTAAAATAGTACATAATATTGGTATCACCGTTACGATACAAAATAGAATAGCACGTATTAATGTTCTCGCACTAAACTTTGATTCGATATTTATAATTAATTATGGATCAATAATATTAATATCGTATATATACATATATCATAAATTGCTTACAGTGAGACAACCAGATAAAACGACGAATGGAATAAGAAAAATAATTGGTACGCTTAAAATCGTAACTCCCCCGAATAATAAAAATATTATGTATATACAAAGTGTTATTAAAAATATCTTTTCTAATAAATTATACGAATTTATCCATTTTATAATTTCAACGATTTCATTATTATTATTAATCTTAATTTTCTTTTTCATCGTGTAAAAATTTTTTTAACTAAAGAAAAGGCCTTTAAAGTGGAAAGTTCTCAATTTATATAATAAGAAATTCATTATACAATGGAAAGTCCTTTGCAAATCATCTCATTGTTAAAATATGTATTATGGTCATAACCTGCATACTACATAACATAATAAATTTCAACGTTTCAATTCACTCACCTTTCAAATCGAAATCATTCATAATGTTCGTATTTGATTCAATATTTAATACTAAAACTACAGAACCATTTTGGTTTAAAACGATAAGAGTTATAATTAGTTTTATATTGGCAACAATATTAGTAATATATGCAGTAAATCTAATTGGAGAATTTTTAATAAGAGTTGATACTCCCGAAGTGTTAACATTTCAACAAAAATTATATTATAGTGTTCCATCTATGAAATTTTGTTTAAAAAGAAAACAAGTTCCATATGGAGATATTGAAAGTACTCAAATATTAAATCCGATACAATGTAAATGCCAAACTCCAAATTCTATTTCAACTTGTTCTTGTTATAATTTAGAACAAGAGTCGAGACAATGCCAAATATATAAACAAATTGGAAGTTCTTATAATACATTATGGTTTACTATCGATGGTGTTGATACTTCTTTTAACCAAGTTACACCTGATTCTTCATATTTGATGACCACTCTTCTTACAATTGATATTGATGAATTTAGTTTACAAAATGATTTATTTATGAAAGATCGTAATAATGATTCTATTAAAGTCAACTCACTAAATGTTCCAACAATATATTTAACAGGTGGTCAGTGGTTATTATTAGAATATTCCATCATTGTGAGATCATCTTATTATAATCAATTTTGGGGTCTAGTCGGTTTATTTCAAAGAAATGTACAAACTTTAAATATTGAGTGGCATAAAACTGATTTTCCCGATTTACCACAAAAAGATAGAATCGTTGTTGGTCTTAAAGGTAGATCAAATTCAACTAGATATGAAATAGAAAAATTTCAGTTAACTAGTAAGTAGTATCAAAATTGAAGTTGAAATGTTTTTTCGTGAGATTATTAAATTTTAAAAAAAAAAATTTTTCCTAAAGTGATGGGAAATATTGCGAATCTTGGTGGTTTTTATACAGCTTGTGCAGGAATTTTCTTTTATCTGTTCGGTAACCCAAAGTTATCTCCTTGGGGTATAACTCAAAAAGTTATATTTGTTTGTTGGCCTTGTAGGAGAAGTTTTCAAAGACAGCTTGCAAATCGTTATGTTTCGAGTGCTGGTATTCCATTTGGCGAAAAAGTTAAACAAATGCCTCCAAATTCTTCGATTGAGGAAAGGCTTCAAATAGTAGAAGTAAGTTAAAATAAATGTATTTGTCATAACTCTTCTGTAAAGTCAAAGTGTGAATTTTACTAACCATGTTTTTTAGATACTTTTGAAAGATTACTATATAGATACATATTATATTGATCAATTAAAATTGATTAAACGGAAATATCGAAAGAAAATAAGAGATTATGAAGAATTAGAACAATTACCTCCTGAGGATGACTTGACTTTGAACGATCAAGAATATGAAAATTCCCTTCCTACGCAAAGAAATTCTTTTATCGATAATGTTAATGATAGGGGACGAATCTATTCCAGATCTCACACTTCTTCTTATCATCAAAATATGGAAGGTTCTTTGGGTTCTAATACACCTTCAATGACTCAAATTGTTGAATCTCCCATTAGTGAGAATAATGACATTATTGACATTGAGATAACAAAGAAAGATAAAGAAGGGAATAATGGTAATAATATAAAAAGGCAGACCAGATATTCGAGAAGTTTGGGAATTGATAATATTACACATAATTCTGCAATTAATAGATCACCCAATAGATCACCTAGACGTAATACCTTATTAAATTTTGATGAATAGTTTTACACATTTTTTCATTTTTTACCAAAAAATATATCTCGTGTTATTGCATCATTCTTATCAAATATCACATATGCTATGTCAAAATTGACAAATTAAACTAGTATATGATATATATGATAACATTATTAATCAATTCTAACATCATTGATTATAGTTTACCATATTGATTTTCACATCACTAGTAGTTAATAAAAAAAAAACATTATTATAAATACTTAACGCCAAGTGTTATTCTAAATAATTAACTTGTGTATCAAATTTGTGCGGAACCTCGTAAATATTTTAATGTATTATTACTCAAACCATTAATAACATATTTATAATAAAAACAAATAATGTACAGTAATACTACCATCATACATCATCAATTAGAAAGTTCTCCGGTAAAAGATACAAATGGTGTTTTACGAGATAAAAATTGCTCTTTGCAATGTACAAATATGGGATACTTGAAAATTTTGCCATTATTGCCAGTTAATACGGGCACGATACAAAGTAATACATCCTCGAGGCTTATAAGTTTAGAAAACGAGTTTAGAGACAAAGTGGCACACGAAGAGGATGGTCATAAAGGACTAATTCTCAATGATTGCAATAGGTAAATCATCTTAATTTATTGGTTCTATATTTTTCGAGTAATTTAATTTTCTTGTATTCTTGTAATTTAGTTTACGAAAAAGTATAGATAATCAAAGTGAAGATACAGCATTTGAAGATGCTGTTGCAGAATTAAAAGAGATTATTTCCAATTCACGATATTTATCTTATGTTTTTCCCATTGGGATAGATTATATTGATGATGAACGAAGAGGTAATAACCGGCTAATTATAATTTGTCTCTTATTAAACTTTAACTAATTTATTTAACTATAAATAGTGATAACGACTTCTCCCATATTAAGAGCTCCAAATCCAATTCCTTTTAATAAACCATTTATGAATAATAATTACGATAAAATGATACATTTTCTTCCTCGATCAAATTCTGAATATTATGACATTTAAAGATAGTGTGTTAAAACGGATCGATTTTCGTTCTAACCATTAAATTTTTTTTTTTTGCTTTTTGTTGCTAGAACCTTCATTTATAGTGTAAATATCGTACATATTTTAATTTTTCTACTTTTAACACTTAGATATATTACTAATTTTGCTAGACATTTATAATTTTTTTTTATTGTATAATAGATACAGTATATCTGTATATGTATAAAGTATAAACATGTATAAACAATTCTTTTGCTGTATGTAAAAATGATAGCGTAGTTATGGATGGTCATTTTTTTTAGGAAAAAATAACAATCTCTTCGACATCATGATACAAATAAATATCGGTAAACTTATTATAAACAATTAAATAGTAATTTCTATTTTTTTTTTGTATGTTAATTATAATCACATAAATCGAGGCAAAATGCGAGAAATAGTATAAATTGCATGGCATTTTTGGAAGGTAAAATACTTCAATATATTCATTGATAATCTAGTTTTACATTTTACTCTTGCGTCTTCTATACTTTCAAATGGTCTTGTTTACATGATTAATTTTTTGCCAATTTGATTAACTGTTCAAAAGAAGTGGTACCGATGTTTACCTTGGAATAGATAGACACAAAAGATTGGTCCACAAGACCACAACGGACCTGTGCACACTCTACTAGCAAATAATCCAATTACTCTAGATCGTTTAATATTGCAGTTTTTCTGGCTGATCTAAAAGGAAGACATCTCCGTATGGCAAATTTAAATAGTATGGTACCCATTCCATTTATTGATTATATTTTTTTAACTAAAAAAAAAATACAAAACTATTACTAAAATTAAAGTTATTTAAACTTGTTTAAAAGAAATGACAAATTTCTGGCAAATACTATTACAACTGAATTTAAATAATATATCCATTAAGTAAATAATAATAAGTTAAATTTGAATTCTTTTAACATATCCTTTAAATTATTGCAGATTCTGGATTTTTTATATGTATCTGCCAGTTACTTCTCTAAAGCTATTAAATTCAAGAAAATAATTCAATTCCAGTCTTTGGAGTAAACAATACTGTAAATAATCTTTTAAAAGATAGTAGAAATCATGAAAAAGCTTTGAAAGTTCTAAATAAGTGTACAGCTGATCATTTTATAGTTTATAGAATAACCTAATGAGATATTCTGATGAATGATTTTTTAAGAAAGACTGAGAGCAGAAAATAAACTAGTATTAGTTTCAGGAAGTTCATGCAGAAGCATGTTTGAATGGCAATGTTCAATCATGATTTATAGCTTAATATTGCCAATCGACAAATAAACACATATTCTAAATTTCCACAATATTATAAATTTACTAGTATTTTGAAATTTTGAAATTTTAAAAAGAAAAAAAATATATTGAAATTATTGTTAAATTATTTAAAAAAATTTTATATATTCTTTAACTACTTTTTACAAAAATTATTAGCATTAAAAGAATTTAATTTTCAATGAAATTTTAAAATTATATATAACAATAATCATAATAATTAAATTATGGTATTATTATATTACTGAAATAATTTTTTAATTTCAAACCAATATTAGTTTAGTATAATTTTAAAGTATACAAAAGTAATCAATTAAAACTTTGTAAAAAAAATTTTTTGCTAAAAAATATAATTAACTTTATATATTTAATATATTATATATATAAATTTAACTAAAATTATTGCTATAAGGTCAAAATTATTTAAGAATTTTTTTACATTTATTAAAATCCAGTAAAATTTTAATAAATTTCAGATAATTACATTTATATTACAAAATTAAAATTAATCTGAAAATTAAAAAATTATTTTAGTAACATATATATTATAACTAATAAAATTTTAAAATTTAATAATATGAATACATAATAATAATATATTATTAATAATTATATAATTACAAATATTATGTAACAGGATAACTTATAAAATCTAAAAATATATAAATTAATATAACTTTTTATTTATTAATTTTAAAGTTATAATTTTATTACCATTAAATACACTTTAATAAAAGGAATCTAACAAATATAATTTCATTTTTCTATAATCACTAGATTTTAAGATATTTTAAAAATTCAAAAATTTTTAAAGTCCCTACAGTTTAAAGGATATTAATAAATTTAAAATTTATATATTTTTTATCAAATTTTTCATAGTAAATATATTTTTTTTATAAATTATTTTTTATATAAAATAAAGTACTTTTTTATAAATATTTATTTATACTAATTTAGTAAAAAAAGTTTAACTAAATATTAATAATTTTAGATGTATATGGTATATTTGTTTTTATTATAAATACTGTATATTAAAATATTTTTATCAGGTAGTAAATATCTGAATATTATATAAATATTTAATAGTTTTTTATTACATTTTAGATTAATAACTAATAATTATTTAAATTTAATAAAATTTATATTATTAAATTTAGTTTAATAATAGAAATTTAATAGTAATAATTATATATTTTTAGTTTTAATATTTACTGAAATATATGAAATAATTTTTATAAAAAATATTTAGAATTTATACTAAAAATTATAATATATATAAAAGTTAAAGTTAGTATTTTAAACTCTTTTTAATTTTATAAGTAAAATTATAGAGTAGGTAAATATATATAAAATATATATGTTAAAGATTTTATAATAAGTATATAAAGTTTGCATTATATTTATTTAAAATAAAATTTATAATATGATATTCAGCAAATTTACTATATAATAATTTTCAAAAAAGAGGAGTATGCTATAATACTTCTATATAAAATTATTATTTTTTATAAAAAAATAAGTAATAATAATGGTTATAATATAAATAATATTAATAGAATAAATTTGAATTAATAAAAAACAAAATGGTTTTATTTAACTTTATTAATAAAATTATTATTTATTATTATATTTAGTTTATATACAATTAGTACTTAATATCTGATATCTTAAAAATTATGTAACTGATTAGCAAATATATATTTATTATAAAAATACTTTTTTTTAATAATTAATCTAATTTTAATGTATTACATTATAATGAATTTTTATAGATTTTATCAAAAATCTTATTTTTTTTTAAATTTTTAGTTATAATTAAATTTAAATTTTATAGTCTTAATGCATTAATATTGATTAAGTAAATTTATAAATTATAATATTAAAAAAAATTTAAATTTTCAGGTCAATACTCAATGTTATACATTTTTTATTACAAATTTTTTAGTTATAATTAAATTTTAAATTTTATAGTTTTAATGCATTAATATTGATTAAGTAAATTAAAGTTATAATTGGAAAATAAAAAAAAATTTTAATTAAAATTAATGAAAATTTGTTATTTTCAAAATATTTTGATATAAGTTTTATTGCAAATTATTATTTGTGATGTTGAAAAATAATTTTTCTGATATATCAAATTAGGACTAAGTATTAATAAAAGTAATGAGATTTTACTTATCAAGGTTCCAGTATATCGAATTTCACTGTGTATTTGAATAGGATGTAATTGCGTTATTTTGGTAATTTTACAAATTATAAAATGTCCGATTAGTTTATGAAGTATTTCACATTTACTCGATCATTATTCTGACATATTATTACAATTTTATATAATTAGCGGAATATTAATTGTTCAATTTTGCATATTATAAACGGATAATAAAATTCTCAAAAACAAGTTTCCTTTGAGAATGATATTTTTTTATATTTAATAAAAAATATCAACTAGTAGCTCAAAGAAACAATTTAATGATTATGATAAAGAGGACCGTTCCCTAAATCAATAGAGAGAAAAACACAAATTTTCAAAAAAAAACAGCAATTACCAGAATACTAAAAAAAAAATCAATGTTACGTCATACTATCCAATATTATATACGAACAGTTAAAAACAAACATTGAATCCCCAAATATGCGAAATTAATAAAAAAAATTGTGGTGTTATCAAACAATGATTGTTGTAAAAATTCCCAACCCCAAAAAAACAATAAATAAATGTAATAATAAGAAATAAAACCCATAATCATACCTAGTGTATATAATAAATTACTAAACTTGTATATTCTAGGCTCAAAAAAATTAAATAATAACCAAAGCATATATAATAAGATACTAAAAATTATAAATTAAGATTAAATAACAGCAGATTAAAGTATTAAGTACACGAATAATTCATTAAATAGATTTTTTTTTTTGATTTTTTTTTGATTTTTCTTTTTTTTTGCACAACCTAATTCTCATGTTCTTCATATCCAATAAATTATAATTTATCTATCATTATGAGTGAGCCAAGCACTCAAGACAAAAAGAAAAAAAATTGAAACTTCCAAGTCAACGGAGATCATCAATAATATAAAGAATAATCTGTAAAATAATTTTCATAATCATTTTTATTATTTAATTTATCGGCAAATAAAAAATCCTCTTCGCGTTCATCAACTGGTGTAGTATAAAGCGGAGCACGAAAGTAGCTTGAGGGAGTTAAAGGCTTGTAATAATTGCTTTCATTATTATTAGCCCGAATGTTATTGTTAGCGCTAGAAGAGTTTGTGTAAGAACAAAAGCTAAAATATCCGTCGTTATTATTTGTTCTCGGTGGAGAATTTGAAGGGGTTAAAGGATAACTATTAAACTTTCCATTGCTAACATTATTATCAGATGACATCGCTCGATGTTGTTGTTGTTGACTTGTTATACTATGATTAAGGGATAGCGCTGGAGGATTTGAAAAAAGTGAAAACGTGGGAGCAGAAGCTGAAAGAGAAAAATTGCTACTTCCTGTGGGAGTAGTTGATGGAGGAGTAACATATCCAGACTTTCTAATTGGAGTGCCGATAGGTTCTTGAGAATTTTGGAAACGTGGTGGTGGAACAGTGATTTTGTTAACAAAAGGAAATGAAGTTGTCTTCGCTCGTGTGGGAACAAGTGGAGGAGTTTTAATGTTCGACTTATATTTAGCTTCAGTTTCATCCAATGAAGAATCGCTATTAAAATATCGAAGGTTATGAGCGGCAATTGCATTATCTAACTTTCTTTGTTGAATTTGAAGTAAAATGCGTTCTTCTTCAAGGATCTTTGCTTTTTCAATGAGTTCATCATCATCCAACAACGAATGTGGTTGTGCAAAAAGTGGTGTACTTGGAGATAAGTTAGAAGAAGGAGTAAGTGGATGAGGAGTAAATGGACCGTTGGAAAGTGGTGTTGAAGGATATCCTGGTGAATAATCATCCCATTCGTCTAAAATATTAAAAAAAAAACCAATTAATTATATATTACTGCGCCAAACATTTTTATTTGCTGACATTTTTCTTTTAAATTTTACCGGAAAATCTGCTGTTATTAAAACCGTATCTTCCGCCGCAATTCTCTATATCTCTAAATTTCATCAATGCATCATCATTAGGACTTGAATCATCAAAGTGATACAATGGGTGACGTAATGGAGAAAGCACATCATCGGTATTATCAAATCCATATGATCCATATGATCCATATGGAGTAAATGGAGTTGAGGGAGTTGAGGGAGTTGAAGGCAAACCATGAGTAGGATAAAATTTCATCGCAGATGGATTTCTGTTAAATGATAATCCTTGAATAGATGAAATACTTCGTTGATGTTTTAGCATATTCCTATTGGGCTGCTGTGAATGCGTTGAGTGAGAATGCGATCTTTGATGAAACGTATTTATTACTGTTTCTTTAATTGAAGATAAAATTGATCTATTAATACAAAAAAAAGAAGAAGAAGAAGAATAATAATAATAATAATAAATAGAGTACCATTAGTCCTTTTCTGTAAAGGTGCAGAGGGCACCCGTCCAGCAGGTCCTTGGAATCGATTATAAGCATTATTTTTGGAATATTCAAGCATTCTTGATACACATTTAATTTCTATTTATAATAAGATCCAAGATAAGAATAAATATTTATTTAAATTCAATGCAGATTTCATCAATTACTTACCATCAAATTGTGATCTAAAAGCACGTGCTTCGTCGTCATCTTGCGATTCTACAAAGGAAAATAATTTTTTTTAAAAAAAAAAGATGACGATAAAATATTTTTTCAATAAAATCTTCTATTACCATGTGAGGCCTTAACATTCTGTTGCTGGATTTTTTCGTTAGATGAAATTTCCTTTTCATCGGTAGAAGTGGGTAAATTTGTTGTCATGTTATTTTCCATATCATCAATCTTATTATTTTTTTGTTCTTCCAAGGAATCATTCGATTTGTTGATAGCAGAAACACCGTTCGCACAGCGAGTTGCTGAAGAATCATCAAATTCTTCTTGAAATGGGAACATTTTTCATGAATATGTTTAATAAAAAAGGCTTTTTTTTTTACAAAAAAAGAGTAACTTTATAGTAAGGAAGAAAAAAATATATTTATTATTTTAGATTTAAAAAATTCTTTAAAAAGAAGATTTTGTGGTAAAAAAGTAATAGTTGATAAAATTTCGTATTTTTTTTTTCTTTTTTATTTTTTTTGTTATGTTTGAATATGTTTGTTCGTTCCTTCGTGGGATAATAAATTTTTCTTATTCCTTACTAAAAACAACTCTTTTTTTCCTTAAAAAAAGAGAGTTAAATTTTATTTTTTTTCCGAAAAATCGAGAAAAAAAAACTTAAAAGTTGGCCTTTTTCATGTATTAAACGTAAAGAAAAAAAGAGTCGAAAAACAATTCCGCAACGAATGCTTATGAGACAAAAGAGAGAAAGCGGAAAAAAAGGTAAAAAAAATTTAAACAACAAATTACACATATTTAAACAACTATGCAAATCCTAATGACTGTTTAACGGTAAAAAAAAGGATAAATTAGGCTAGAAGATTTATTTTTGTAGTTTGGATTTTATTTTTAGGGTTATGAAATGACATTGACAAAGTAAGTCATTCAACCTATTTTGTTAATAAATATAAATTATATTAAATCGGAAAATGGAACAAAAATGGAACCGATATCCGCGATATCGAATTTTATTAGATATGTTTAAATTTAATATAATCTTATTTCTGAAAACTGTGTAAATTTGAAAGATCAAAAAAAAAAAAAAAGAGAGATATAAAAATGAAATAAAGTATTACGTAACTGTTTTCTTATATTTAAAAGTTTGTTTTAATAAAGTTTTTTTGCTCCGAAATTTATGTAATTTAAATAAACATATGCTGCGCAGGATTTCCATTCATGCAATGTGAACCTTATAGTGCATTTAATATTTAAACAGAAGGATTTCCATTATGGATGTTCTGTTTAGTTTAATTTCGGAGAAATGTTTGTAAATTTATGAATAAACTTAGGTGATAGGTGACGTTTAACTAAGTCAGAAATAGAATAAAGTTTGATAACCGTCTAATCCTAAAACATATATTTCTTTTTTTTATAGATTTGTCAAATAATGAGATAAATAATGGTTCATATGATTTATCATCAATAAATCTAAAATTCGAGTATTAGACTGATATATATCTGTCTCTTATACACATCTAGATAAATCTAAAATTCGAGTATTAGACTGATATATATATATATATATATTAAAAAGCATACGTTATTTGGTATTCTGAGATGATTTTCCCCCTAATTTTCATGATATTTTATATGATTCGTTTTCTCCCTTTTCATATGAAAATAATTTCACACGTGGCGCAGAGATTTGTATATTTATAGATGAAACAGTTAAACCCGATGCAACCATTGAGTTTCAAAATTCTTATATTTGTTGCACGTAAAAAAAATATTATTTAATTTTTGATGTAAGCGTTGATGGAAATATTTTTTTATTATTATTTAAAGAGGACAAAGATGATGTTTTTATATAATAAATATTTCTTGATGTTAATGAAATAAATACAACCAGACCTCTATAATTGCACTCTCCATAATTTACACCCATTTTGTATACCCTCTATAAATGCACTCTCCGGTTCGGTCCTGAGCTTATATGATCTCTAATTATTTTACCTCTATAAATGCACACCCTCTCTAAGTGCACTATTTTGAAAATTATGCATATGGTCCCAAGGGGTGTGTAATTATGGAGGTCTGACTGTATTTCAAATAAATAAACACATGTAGGTATGAATTAATTAAAGCGATTAACATTATTGATCTTTTCCTAAATAACAATTATAATATTGATATGTTATTATGATCCATCCCATGGAGATAATGAGAATCCAGTAACCGTTTTTTTGGCGACAATATACTGAAATGGTCAGTGAATGAAACTAAAAGGATACTAATATATGACTATATGACTATATAAGTTTTTACGGTAATATTTCCATTTTCATTTGATTGAAAATCCATTCTAAATATTTCTAAATGATTTTTTTTTTTTTAATTAAACTAATGAATCAGTTATACATATAATGCACATTGTTTCTTTGCATACTACAGATATACGCAATTATTAACTTGGCGCAGCATACAAAGTAAAAATTTCCGATGTGTCAAAGGAAAACCGGAAATTGGCCGATATAGTTAAGACTAATTTTTCGGTATCGGAGTATATAATATATAATGCACGTGATAATTTTCATATTGAATATAAAACAATTACAAAAAAAAGTTCGATTGTGATCATCCGATTACATTGATTACATTTTTCTACTTTTTTTTTTCTTTTTGAGGATGAATTTATAATAAATTTCATTATTATAAAATTTTCCCACGCCAAAAACGATCCAAATTTAATAACTTGCCGTTAGAAATGATTGGCGTGACATTGTTTTAACAAATTACAACTTTCATACGAAAAAAAAACAATGCATGAGGCCATTCAATTTACAAATCATAAAGAACCGATATGAGAAATCATTTTCGAGAAAAAATTTTTTTTCCCGAAACATCATGCATGGTGCCCGAGGAAGTGCAGTAATAGCAGATTTAACAATTGAAGAAATATGCCTCATATATCCTAAATTTGGTTAGAAAGATCGGATTTATACTTTACATAAATCCGTGCCCATTTCACTGTTTCTTATTCAAGTTCTCTCTCTCCCTTTTTTTTTTTCTTATTTGAATATAAAAAAAATTAATTGAGATTATCCTTGGTTTTTTATTTGATTTTTAAGGATAATGTCTCAGCTTTTTTCAGGACTCTCACAGGATTTTTCACGGTTACTCAAAGATGCAGATGATTATAATGTTATCATTGAAGTTGGAGAAGGTTCAAATATGAAGAAATTTCATGCACATTCAGTTATACTTCGTGCACGCTCTCCATATTTTCATAGCGCCTTATCTAGTGAATGGTCACGGAAAGAGAATGGATGTATCGTTTTTAAACAACTTGGAGTGTTACCATCAATATTTAGAATTTTAATAAAGTAAATATCATCTTCCATTCAAAATTTTTTTTTTTTATTTAGTAGAGTTGAAAGAAACTTAAGTCTAAATTTTTAACCTCCTTTTCTTTTAGGTATATATACAGTGGAACGATAATATTAGATGAGCACCAAGGAAATGATCTTTTTGAAATATTAGCAGCAGCTGACCAATTTCTTCTTTATGAATTATTAGAATATTTGCAAGATTATATTATTCAAAATAGAACTGATTGGATAAAAAGAAATCTTGTAAAAATTTTACATTCTGCTGTGAAGCAAAAATCATATCAAAAACTTCAAAACTTTTGTAACAAATTAATTACAGAAAATGCTCGAATATTATTTGAAGCAAAAGATTTTAATTCTGTGAGTGAAAATGTTCTTGTTTCTGTACTTCAGCGAGATGATCTTGGTTTACAAGAAGTTGAAATATGGAATAAAGTTATTCAATGGGGTATTGCCAACACTTCAAACCTTAAAGGTAATGTTACTAGCTGGAATAAAGAAGATTTTATGTTTTTGGAAAGGACTATGCATAGAGTAATTCCGCTTTTGAGACTTTTTCAGATGAGCCCTGCTGATTATTGTCATAAGGTTAGACCATACAAGCAATTATTTCCAAAAAACTTACAAGAAGATCTTTTGTGTTACTACCTTGCCAATGATCAACCAAAGTCCGCTAATATTCTTCCTCCAAGAGTGTCACCTATCAAAATTGATTCAACTATTATTGGACCACAACATACAGCACTTATTGCAAGATGGTTAGATAATGAACCTACTATTAGACATGGAATTCAATATAATTTTACACTTCTCTTTCGAGCAAGTCGTGATGGTTATTCTATTAACGCGTTGAAACAACAATGTGCTTGCAAAGGACCAACAATTTTAGTTTTGAAACTCCGTGACTCTGGACAATTAATAGGAGGATATAATCCGATTGGATGGAAAAGTGTAAAATTTGGTCGAGGACGAGGTACAAAAGAAAGTTTTATTTTTACACTTGGGGATGGGACTTCACCTTATGATGCACGAATCTCTCGGATAGCTTATGATAATTGTGATACGGAAATTGACGATTTAATATGGATCGGCCCAAAGTTTGGCAAAGGTCCGGATCTATGGGTCCGGATGAATGCAGATCAAAGTGGAGAAGCACGAAAGGGTACTTATGAAAGCAGTATTTTGGAGACTGAGGGAAGATTTAGATGGATAGAGTGTGAAATATTTTCTTTAATGAAGAAATAATCTTTATAAAATACGTAAAAAATTTTTTTTTTGTATTTGTTGAGTGTTAGTGATACAAAATCATAGATTATAAATATACATATAGATCATCAAATGTAATGACCTTTTATGAATAGATTTTTTTTTTAATATATATATAATTATATATGTGCCGTAAAAAAAAAAAAATTTTTTTCTTTATGTTGCTTATTTTTAATTTCTCATACTTACTAAAACAACTAAGCACATTTTGAAACGGTCACATTCTTTGAAATGCATAAATGCACATTATCACGCTCGAAAATAGCCTAAATTCTCAAATTGTTAATATTCCGTTTTTAATAAAATGCAAAATCGGCCAAGATTTCTCAAAGTGACAATAAAAAGGTTGGTTATCAAGCTCGTCCTTCCAAATTCAGCGAATTTCGCGTGTTAATGCATCATTATTTTATTACAAAATTTTTTTCTTGAAGACATTCTTATGAAATCAATATTCTGTATTTCTCTTTTTTTTTCTTTCTTTTTTTTTAAGAAAAAAAAATATATACAGTATTATTTTCATTTAGCCGATAACAAAAATTTTGCTGAACCTTTTTACTATACCAGAACCGAATAAGACGCATTTGACCTTCATAAACCTTAAATTAATAATTATGCTATCGTATGTAGTCTTGCACACGATTTAAGGAGGTATTGCCATCAAACCTTTTTATTAACTATACCCGGACCGGATAAGGCGCATTTGATCTTCATAAACTTTAAATTAGTAATTATGCTATAATTTGTAGGTCTAAATTATCAAAAGACTATTATTTCTCACGTATGGACTTCCATCGAATACTCATGAATATTAAATTACGTAGAATTATGACGTATCCCCAAGATTTTACGTAACTTCAAATAAAGCCATAAATGAGATGATTTTCATATATTTGTATCATGAAAATCTTTCTATCTTTTTTTTTTGAAAAACATTTTACCTTTTCGTACCCGGTCGCAAATTTTCGGACAAAGAATTTTCTGCGGTAAAACCTCAAAAAAATCCTAAGGCTTTAATAATTTTTTTTTTTTAACTTTTTTTCTAATATGTTTAATACTAAATATTGTAGATAATAACAACCATGTATCGAACAAAAGGCTATAATAATAATAATTATGGAGATCAACAGCTTTGGATAAAAGTTGATCTCAAGGAAATTCGGTTTTATCCAAGTAGAGATATCATTCGAAAATTCCAGTGTAGACAAATAGAATTATTATTTAAATATACAAATAATTGTATAGCAATTAATTTTATCGAGGGTCGGGAAGTTCATGAGATAAGGATTCCTCTCGAACAAATTACTAAATTTAGAGTTATTCAAAATAAACATATAGAATTTGAGTTTTGCAAGGATTTCAGAAGGGCTGTAAGTTATTTCAAATATTATCATTGCAGTCGTCTTTATTTAAATTCTTTATAAAGATGATTAATTTATTGGGTAATTTTTTTTTAAGTATTTTGTTCATCTTAAAAATAATCAAAATTCAAATACAGTTCATAAGACTCAAAAAGATCCAACGAGCGGTTGTATTAAAGATGCTACAAAGTTATCGTTTACACCTTGTGATAAAGTTCATCCTATGACGATTTTTATGTTTGAAATTGGAATCAAAAAGTGGGCGCCTCGTTTAATTGTAAGTATAACCATTTTTTTTTTAATTTTTGTAATAATTTTATTTTTAAATTTTATTTGGTACATGAAAAATTTTTTTTTTTTAGGAAAGTGAGGATGACAAAGATGAAATACAAATTCATGAGGTGAATGATAATTAATTATACTCAATTATCATATATAATATATGTATCTATTGATTCTAATATTAACAAATTCATAAAGGATCTGATAATCGAAGACAACCCTTCACTAAACCCTTCTCTACATAGTATTACATCTGAGGTAAAGATTCTTTATATATAAAATAACTGGTTTGCAAGAATATTATTATACATTTTTTTTTATAAAATCCTTTTCATTTTTAGTACCTTATGACATGCAACTTCATGGATTTCACAAGCGACATTCGCTTGCCTGCTGAAATTACATTTTCGGATTTATTGAAAGAAATAAATAGAAAATTAGAATGTGATGTAAATACTTTTAAATATAAAATTAATGATGAAGAAATGATTATGGTTGAAAATGAGGGAGATTGGAATATTGCTAAAATGAATCTTAGGGAACAAAAGATTTCATGTTTCGATATCTATATAGTGGAGTAAGCTGCAAATATAACTGAGGTTTGTGTATAATTTAACCAAAAATTTTGTATATATATATATATATTATTTAAACATATTTATAATATATCTACAGTATATTCTTTTAAAGTGCATCATTCTTTCTAATACTTCTTTTGATTAAACCTAAATAATTGATATTAACGAGATATTAAATGATATAAAAATTATTAAATTATTAAAGTTTATTTCACTTATTTTATAGAATAACAATTGAAAAAGAACAGGCTGTCGTATTACTTGCGTAGATTGCTTGACATGAAACTTTATTAAAAAAAAAACTTGTGGTGTTTAAAAAGAATCAAAGCAAGAAATTTGAAGTTCAGCATTAAAATTAATGTAGTCCGTGTGACAGATGTGACAGATAATGTGTACATGTGATACTCATGTGATCGTGAATGAATATGAGGCGGAGTTTTTTTTTCACCCTTTCTTTTCTTATCTTTTATATATTCCCTTCCGCTTTCGCCTACGGGAGGCATTGCACTTATTTAGCGGATTTGTCTATGTTAGATTTCTATGTAAGAGTTGTCACTGTTGTAACTGTATTTACCTTAATGTATTCCCCCATTTATCTACTGTATATAAATAAAAAATAAATAAATAAAAAAGAACGCTCCCTCTTACCCGCTCCATTTCCGAATTCTAAGCCAGAATCTACAAAAAAGGAACGTTCTTATATAAAATCAACTATTCACAAAACCTTTCCCAACTAGAAACTCGACAAGATTCTTCACTACTTGTATAATAGTCATCATATAATGGGCACTAATAGTTAATATTAATGCTGTTGATGCCGTTACAAGTCACGCGTTTTTGTTTGTTAAAGTGCCGCTTGACGAAATGTGGCCTTGCTCTTGACAGATTTTCAACACAAAAGAGTGTCTAGTTGCAATGTGAAATTGTTGTGTCTCAACATATATAAAGTAGCTGAAAAAAGGATTCCGGGCGGGAGCTACCAAATATAATGTAAAAAATAGTATTCATAATTAGCAATTACTATTTTATTATTACCTTAAATTGATATTGGGAAAATAGAATCTATAGATACAATTTATTTAATAGATAAGATTATTTCTTGAAGTTTTCCAATATCTATTGTCTACATACACGAGGAAAAAATCCCCTTTGCAGCTCTGGAATATGAGGTTCTTCAATTAGTGACTTCAAAAAGATGGCTAAGCGCGTTTATGAATTGTTTCAAGCCCGACTGCCCGAGGATTAGCAAATCTATATGTAGTTGACCAGCTCAGATGGAAGAAAATGAATTTATTTTATTTATTTATTTTATTTCTAAAAGAGTAGTAGAACTAAGACTATTACAAATAAAAGTAGTTGGCATTTTCACGCGAAATAACTAATATGCGTGTATAGAACCCAGAACTTCATCCCCTACGGGACCTCTTCGGTAGAGATTTAGGGTGACCCAACTAGGGCCACCCTAAACCCATCCCGGACCACCTACATCAGTGGGTATTTTTTGGTATTTGGGGCCAACTGCAGCGTGTCGAGGGGAGGATGCACTTGCAGAGCTCCCACATGACCGCCTTAGCTATACATTGAGGCATGCCCACACTTTGGTGTAAGGATGAATTGGTTGACCACCTGGGAAGAAAATGAATTTTATAATTTATGGAAGCTTACTACCGATGGCATGACAATCACATGAACAAGAGACAGCAATATAATGCTATTCTATTAAATTAATATTTTCTTTATTAAATTTTACTTTTTTTTTTATTATTATTACTATAAATTATTTAATAATATAGGGAGTAAGTTATTTATTTATTTCTATTATTACTTATTATATAATATTTGTATTCTTATCTTTAGAAATGGAATTTGTAAAAAAAATTTATATTTTTGGTGTTCAATTACAGTAATATGTATTAATTTATTTTTTTATTCTATATTATTAATAGTCTAATTAAGATGTTTTCATTAATAAAAATATTATAATTCATATTGCAATATTTAATGCTATAGCATTTACTTTACATATATTTTTCATTTTGCAATATTTGTGGTATAAAAAAAATAATACCAAGTAAACTTTTTCTGATTATTTTCAGGGGTGCTGAACAATTTTAATTAGAGTGACTTCTTCATTTAAACTATAGTTTTCATGAAAATATATACTATGGTATTAAGCACCAGTAGTATGATTTAGTAAAATCAATTATTTAGAAAAAAAGTTTCAAAACTTCACTTTAAAACTTACCAATTTAAACCTAAAAATCAATATCAATACATAAAATTGAAATTCATTAAAAAAAGATACAAAAAAAAAAAATTTGAAGATTTTTACTTTTGAAGATAAGTCTGAAGCTATATATATTGCCATTTAGGACATAAAAAAAAAATAAACTGAACATTAGTTAGGCGATATAAAGTTAAAAAATTGGTTCTCATATCAAAATTTGCTTCAATTTAACCCGGCCGCACGGCCTTTTATTTTTTTTAGAATAAAATTTTTTTCATCCGATCATGTAATACAGAAGATTTCATATGTAACATTTATATTAATATAACAATTCAATAAAAAGTCAGACAGATTTTATATATCAAGTTAATTACAAGTTTATTTCTCATGTTTTATTGTAGTTTTTTAAAAATTTTTTTTTTTTATTGTTCGTTAAATGTTAGGCATTTACATAGCAGATAGTATTACGATATATCAGATATGCGTACAAATTTAATTTATCATGTGACATAGTTTAGAGCAATTTNATATGCGTACAAATTTAATTTATCATGTGACATAGTTTAGAGCAATTTAATTGGTTAACAAAAAAAAAAAAAATTTAAGATTCCCGCTCTGGTGACCCGGCCGGGATATGAGAACCAATTTTTTAACTTTATGTCGCCTTATGTTCATTAAAATTAAAATATAAAAAAAAATATTTCAATTTTTATCTTCAAAATAAAAGTCCAGAGCCATACTTTAGCATCTAGAACTTAAAAATATGAAAAATAAATATTAGTGATGTTTATTAAATAATAATATAAAAAAATATAAAAAAAGAATTTTAAAGATAAAGATTTTACCTTTAAAATAAGAGTCTGAAGCCATTTTTTAACATTTAAAACCTAAAAAAAATTAAAAAAAATGAATATTAATACTGTTTGTTAATGATGTAAACAATATGTGTTTCTTTCTTAATTCTTAATTGCAATAATTGCAATATACAACTCCTTTTTTCTTTGCATTATTCTATTTTGCCGATTCTTGCCATTTGTATTATGAAGTAAATAATATGTGTCTCTTTTATTTATTTTTATACAATTCTTATCCCTTTACAATGACATTTTTTTTATATTACATCTCTTTTGCAATGATATCTTTTATACTACATTATGTCTTTTTTATACTTCCTTTATTTTTTCATTATTTTCTTTAAGTCTTCCAGTTCTCAACCTTAATATAAGTGATTCTAGTACTATAAACTTATATAAAGGTAAAGTATTTTCAAGTTGGGAGTTATGTGATTCATTTATAAATAAGTGGAATAAAAATAAAGGTTTTTGTATAATAAAAAATAAAGTAACTAAAGAGAAAGATTATATCAGAAGAAGGACCTACATTTGTAAATATAGGAATAAGTACACTTCAAATTCTAATAAAGACACCAATACCAAAAAGATATCATATTCATAGTGTTTAAATGCTTCTTATTCTAAAGAAAATAATTCAAATTTCTCAGTTTTTATTAACAAAATTGTGGATGAACATAATCATGAGTTGAATATAAAAGCTATTGCATTTAGAAAAGGTAAAAGATTTAGTGATGAAATGTTAAAGGATATACAATTCTTGACAAATCACTGTAAAATAAAAGCTACTATACAAAGAAGATATTTAGAAGCTAAATATTCTACTTATTCACTATATAGCAGAGACTTATATGTAGCAATTCAAAAGTTTCATCTTACAATAAAATCACTTTCAAATGATACAACCAAGATGTCAAATTGACTTAATCAACAAAAAGAGATAGATTCAAAATAAGTAGTGGGATAAGATGATGATAACACATTAACATATTTAGTATAGATAATACCAGCTCAAGTAGAAAGCTGGATTCTTTATAGTAATTGCATTATTAATGATGTTACTTATAAAATAAATAGATATGAAATGGCATTATCATTTTTTGTAGATAATATGAAAAACATTATTTTCGCAGGACCCCAGACATCACATATATAACTTATAACTGATCTGCATAAATTTAGCACTTTTTGCTTCTGCTAAAATAGACCTAATTTGCTAAAAATCAAATTATCACATTTTAAATCTATACTAATTTACTAAAACTCAAAATATGAGTTATAGTAAAATTTAAATAATATAGGTTTAAATATGCTTAATAAAATATAATTTCAGTTTATTAAAATTATTTGTAAATTGGTAAATTTAATTGTCAATTTACCAAAATTAACAATCTTTTTTTTTTATTATCAATAAAAAAATAAATAATTAATAACAACTGACTTTTTGCCAAAAAAGACCTTTTTTTTATTCTCAGTTTTTTACAATTATTTTAGCATCCAGTGATCTGATTCATGCAGTTTTTTTTATTTTGTAGAGCTCGATGAGGGCTACAAAACAAAAAAAAGTTCATATAAATTGGACTGCTAGATGCCGAGATAATCGCAAAAAATGTGATTTTTTTTTTGAAATTTAGGCCAATTTGCTAAAAAGTTACTCTCTGAGTTGTATATGTAATGTCTGGGGTCCTATATAAATTAAACTGTCAATTTTTATAATTTATAATTAAAAATATGTAGATTATAGATAAAATAATAATTAATAAAAATAATAAATTAAATATAAATAATTATTAAAAAATAAAATGTTGCGAAACTAATTGGACAGTTTTTGGCCTGCATTATGCTTAATTTTGGCCGGAATTATACTTAATTTTGGCCAAAATATAACCCGGACCCCGAAACTAATATTTTTAAAAATATTATCTATAAAAGTTAAAAAAAAGGATAAGTCAAATTTAAAAAAAAGTACCAATTTGCTCAAATATAAAATATGACTTTGTAAAATCAACACAATTTGCTAAAATTCATAATTATGACTATTAATTAATTTTCAATCAATTTGCTCTATCTAAAATTATGAGTTTAACCTAGAGCTCGGACTCGAGTTAGGATGAGTCAACTCGAGTAAAACGAGTCAAGAATTTTTTTGACTCGAAGAGTACTCGAGTCCAGGACTCGAGTCAGGACTTGAGTTAACTCAAGTTAATTTGAGCCAAAGTTAAAGTGCAGGCCAAAAAACTTATCCATAATTTTACCCAGACTGTTATAGTTATAGTGCTGGCAGGAATTACAAATAGGGTTCAGCTAGCACTATCAACCACGTGATCCTGGTTGACTCGAGTCAAGAAATTTCCAACTCAAGTGCAAGTTCAACTCGAGTCAACTCAAGTTACATGAGTGCGAGTCTAAGCTTTAGTTTAACCTAATTTTGATTGAATTTGCTAAAACTCAAATGTGAGTTATATATGTGATATCTGGAGTCCTATTTTTGCGTAGGATTTACTTATAAATGAAAGTAAGGAATTCTATTTTTGGTTATTCAGTTAGATCCTTGAGGTTACAGGTATCTAACCAACTGTAATATTGACAGATTCAGATCCAACAGTTAATACTACAGTAAAAGAAATATTCACTAATACTTATCCACTTATCCAATTCATTATGCATTTCATATTACCCAAAATCTTCATAAGAACCTCTGAAAACCTCTTGAAGACCAATATGAAAAGTTTATCTAAGACTTTTATTATCATAGAAATAGTTTTGTTCATATAACATTTTCAAATCATTTTGCAAAGTTGATTGAAGAATACCCACAAAGTAAAAAATATCTAGAAGGTTTATATAAATCAAGAGACTATTGAGCATATTCGTATACAAGTTTCAAGTTTACTGGGGGTATGATTGCTTATTTACAGGTTGAATTTATCAATTCCTATATCAAAAGAATGCTGTTTAACTCAGATGTTTCTTTTTATAGACTTATAAATGAAATTTATAAGTTGTTTAATGAGCAGGATAAAAAAACAGATGCCAATATTAGAAACTTGCAATTTCATCGGTAAAAAATCAAGAACAGGTGAATTTTTTATTTAAAAGGGTAGATAAAAGCTGTCAAAGATTTCTTAAGTTATTCCAAAATTACAAAGAGATGAAATTAACCAACATATGGGCTGATTTGTCTACCTTTAATTAAAATATTAATTTTATTACATTTTTATTATACAAAATACTATATAATATACAGTAAATTGGAAATGAGTATTAAAAAATTTTTATTTAATGTTATTATACTATAATTTGGTAAATAT